ATATGCTGTACACACTTTCTCGTCACTATCTCCTAAAAACTGTGTAGGAAAATGTAAAAATTTAGGGTCAGTGTGACAGCTAAGCAGGTACAAGCGCTTGTCTCCACGCCTGTGCGTTCGATCCCCCAAGATTTCTATGGTGGAAAGAGAAAATCAACTCCTACAAGTTGTTCTCTGATCTCCATAAATTGACGGTGGCACATGTGTACAAACACACAAATAGTAAATGCAATTTTTAAAAGATATTTTCACAGAACTTAGACTGTACTCAGTATTGTAAGTAATTTAGAAATGAGAGAACGTAATACACACAAGAGTATATATGTAGGCTGGATGCAAATCTAGAACAAACCACAGAGAAGAATTGAGCATACAAGGTCAAAGAAGGACAGGTATGTTACCCTTCATTACTCTAATTAGTTTCTTCACACAAGACAGGGTTTCTCTGGGTAACAGTCCTAACTGTCCAGAACTCACTTTGTAGAGCAGGCTGGCCTCAAACTCAGAGATCCACCTGTCTTTGTCTCCCAAATACTGGAATCAAAGGTGTGTGTCACCACTGCTAAGCTCACACATTCTTCTTGAGGAACCTTCTTGCAGAAAGTAACCAATTCAAGTTTAAAAGGAATTTAGTACTGGAATCTGAAGATTCGTGTTTGTTCCAGGAATTATTACTAGCTACTGAACTTTATTTAGATATCTAATGTCTCTGAACCTAGATGGCTTGTCTGTGGCCCAGGAGGAAGAACAAGAGGAAGATGAGGAGGAAAGGGCACACAACAAAAGGAAAAGCAGACGCAGAGGAGGAAGAGAGGCAAGCATTGGTGGACACACACACACACACACACACACACACACACACACACGAACATAAATGAACACAAACACGACCGCTTGGGCCCAGAAGTTTGAGGCCAATCTCCTTAGTCAATATAATGAAACTGCTTTCAAACACTACTTTTTTTAAGTTTCTTTAGATTTTTTACATGAAGTCTTGCTGTGAAGGCTAGGTAGACTAGTCTCAAATTTCTGATGTGAAAATTATGATCCTCCTGCCTCAGCTTCCTGAGTGTTGGGTTACAGGTATTTACCACCTTCCCCATTTCAAAATAAAAAGTTTAAAGCAGGAATAGCACTTTTAACAATGAGTACCACTTATAAACAAGCAATACCAACACAGTTAAGCTTCTGCCAACCTCAAACTATTCCTGAGTGTCAAAAGTTACCTCCTTTCCAAAATTAATGTGCATTAATGAAGCAAATGTTATGAAAACTTGATTATTTCACATTAGCATGTAAGACTAAGAATTAAAATGTAATTGCAGGAGCTTCTGGTGATGCATGCACACAAACATATACAGAGCAAGAAACACACACATAATTTAAATCAATAAAAAAAATACTTTTTTATAAAAAAGCATTTGCCAGTCCAAATAAGTTGATTAAATTTCAGCCAGAAAATTTAGAAAGTGAAGTTCTAGGATCATTAAAGGCCAAAAGTTGGAAAAGAAAGTATGAAGGCCAATCCCTTGGAACAGTAACATAGAAACTGCTGGCTCTTGAAAATGATAATCACATGGAAGGCTCGTTTACATACTGCAGGTCTCAAGTACCCTAAGCCTAACTTCTCAAAGACCGTTCTAGCCTTTGCTGAGCCAGCACAATCTTCATCCCAGCAACTTTTCCTTTATATCTACAGTTCATTTAATTTTCTTTCCTTCCTAGTCCCCCAAGGTCAAAACAGTAATAACTCTAAAGTATCTGTCTATGCTCAAGGCTCAATGGTCCTAGGGTAAACCTACCAGGGGGAGAAAATGTAGTCAACTTACACAAAACAGAAACAGCAAAGGCCTTTCTAAATACCAATAGAAAAATAGCTGAGAATTTTAATATTTTGTTTGGTTGGTTGATTTTTCAAGACAGGGTTACTCTGTGTAACAGCCCTGGCTGTCCTGAAACTTGCTCTGTAGAGCAGGCTTTGCCTCAGAGATCCGCCTGCATCAGCTGCTTAAACACTGTGATTAAAGGTATGCACAGCACACCCCACCTCCCTTAACATTTTTAAGATGTGTGTGTGTAAGCCTATGCCCACAGATGCCAGAAGCAGCATGAGAGCCCTTGAAGCTGGAGTTCCAGGCATTTTGAGCTGATGTGGGTGCTGAGATCTGAACTCTGGTCTGGTCCTCTGTGAGAGCAACATGTACTCTTGACTGCTAAAGCCATTTCTCTAGCCCTACTCATAACTTTTAAACTCCATCCTTTAGGCAACTTAAATCTTTTAATAAATTTGGCTTTTAATGACTCAATTAAGAACTAAACTCAGCAGGGCACAAAGCACTGCAAATACTCCCTCAACTTCTCAGCAGAACAGGCCTGAATTCTCGAGATATAAGGAAACAACAAAATAATTATCATGATAAAACTCACACAGCAAAATTAGTATCTCACAGTAGGTATGATAATTTTGATGAGACGGAGAATCTCTGTAGTCCAGCCTGGTCTACATAAACTCCAGACCAGCCACGGCTGCATAATGAGACCCTGTCCCCTCAATAAACTTTTTTCACAAAAATATAGTAGCTATACTTCCAATCACAGCACCTGAAGGCTAAACAGTTCCACCAGCCTGGGCTAGAATGAGGTGTGTCTGAGAACAAACACAAACACACACAAAGCAAAGAAAAAGAACGACTTACCCTAATTAGGGCTATTATCAATTAAGATGGGTTGTGCTTAAGTGGGTGTGTCTATACACTTATTTGTGCAGGGCCCCAAGTAGTCCAGAAGAGGGTGTTGGGTCCCCTGGAGGTGGAGTTGCAGTGCAGGAAACAAGCTGGAGTTACAAGTGCAGTGAACCCAAAATGCAGCAATTTCAAGGCTTTTCATGCTAAAATAACTTGCACATTTTTTAGTATCTATAAAATATAAGATCACTTTTCTATCTTTACACTATATCCACATTTCTGTAAGATCTTAAAGTGTATTTAATGTATCTATTATTAGATTTACTCATTTTTTTAAGTGTTTTGCCTGCATGTATATATGCAGACCGTGTGTGTCTGGTGCCCCCAGGGGTGAGAAGAGCCAATGAATCCCCTGGAAAAGTCCTTAAGGATGGTTGTGAACCACCTTGAGGATGCTGGGAATTGCAACCAGGTCCTCTTCAAAAGCAACAACTGCTCTTTACCACTGAGCCATTCCTCCAGCCCTTAAAATGTGGTTTTAATCAGCTATATATAGTTTTCAAAAACAAGTAATACAGTAGGCACAGCAGGCATTCAACAAGTGTATCGGCAGATCACCAAAGTCAAAGGTTGGAAAAGGAAGCATGAAGACAAATTCCTTGGAGGACTGCTCCAGATTAAATGTTACTAATATGGACGGTGACAAATATTCAAACAATTCTCCAAACAGTATCTCCCTTTGAGAATAAAACCTAAAGCATGCACTAGCACAGAAACTGCTGGCTCTTGAAAATGATAATCACGTGGAAGGCACGTTTACATACTGCAGGTCTCAAGCACTCTAACCCTAACTTCTCAAAGACTGCTCCAGTCTTGCCTTATCAACCAGAAGTGAGTTTCTAGTCTCCTCCAATACAAAGAAATCTACTACTTCATTTGCATCTCCTGCAAACTGTTAGTTTTTACACAATCATGAGACCACAAACTACTGAATACAATTCACTTACAATCAGTAATAAACACAAGCAAGCATCTGTCATAGTCAAAATGCCAAGAATTTCTAGATAAATTAGTAAGCAATTTCACGTTGTACTTAAAGACTAAATAATGTCTGCTAATCTTTTTTATTCACTCTACACTAACTTGGGTTAGAAAGAAATGTCAAGAAAATAAAGCAACCACTATGACACTATGACATTACTCAATCCAACAATCCAACAATCCAATAACATTTGGAGGAAGATAAGTATAAGACATTTTCCCAATGAATTTCCCTATGAATCATTCGTGCTTTATAATAACGAGTATACATTATCCTAAAGCGGAAGTAAATATGATGATGAGGAGGAAAAACCCGACTTGAAAACCGCCAAGCACGCGGATTTCCAAACCTTTAATTAAAAGATTTTTAAGATGAATTCTATCAAATCCTTAGACTCACTCCCTGCACCTGATTGAGGGGTCTGTATAAATGTGACTCGTGACATTTTTTTTAAATAAATAAAAGGCACACCCTCTAGGATGAACTGACATAATCACCCCCACCCCACCCTCACACATCCCGCTTTTCCTTTCCCAGAGCCTTTTCCCTGCCCATTCCTCTCGCAGCTGTCTGGGTACTATACTCATCACATTCGGCAGAGGGGCGACAGCAAGGTGTGGGGGACCAAGGTGACCAAGGGAGAATGCGGGATCTCCGAAAGGGCTTCGGACAGGGGAAGAGTGGCTGCGGGGTCTGGGGGCCGACCCCAGCCAGGGAAGGCTGCGGGGTCTTGAGACGAACCTGGGCCAAAAGAGGCGGCGCGGAGTAGAGCCCGGCCAAGACTGCGGAGAGCAGAGCAGAGCCCGGGCAGGGGAAGACTGCAGGGAGCACGACCCGGTCGGACAGGAGAGGCCGCAGGGCGTACGACTCGGCTAGGAGAGGTTTCAGGGCGCACGACCCGGCCGTGAGAGGCTGCAGGCAACAGAGACCGGGCAGAGAAACTGCAGGGTCTAGGAGCCAGGGCAGGCGACTGCGGGAATCAGAGCTCGGCGGGGGCAGGCGGTCCGGGCAGGCTGCGGTGAGCACGGCCGAGCCAGGAGCACAGCCGGGCCCGGGCAGGCTGCCGGGACCTCAGCCGGCTGGGCACACTGGGAGCGGCGGCGGGGCCGGCGGCGCCCGCGGCGGCCCTGCTCCTCGCCCATTTTCTCGCGGCGGCCACTTCCTGTATCGCGGCGGCCGCGGCCGGGGCGGAGGGTGGCGGAATAGGGCAGCTCCCACCGCGCCCTGCCTGCCCGTCGCCCCGGCCATCCCCGCCGCCCGCCCGCGCTCCTCACCTGTATGTAGTTGTTTTCACAGTAGTCCGCCACCCGGGTCAGGTTCTGGTAACTCTCTATCAGCGCCCTCTTGCCAGACGGGATCTCCTCCTCTAGTAACATCTGCAGCTCTGCCATTTTCCACCCCTCCGCATCGCTTCCTCTTCGTGTTCAAGAAACAGAGGCAGCTGGGTCCGCCGGGGACCGGAGCGCCGCACAGACCAGACTCTAACCACCCACCCGCCCTCCGCCGGGTATTGTGGGACTGCACCTCCTCCTCTTCCTCCTTACTCTCCCCGCCCCCCTCAGCCCGGGACTCGCCGCCGCCAGAGCCTCACTTTCTCGCGAGAATCATTTCTCCCTTGACAAGGAGACTCCACCCCCTCCCGTGGCATTGCTTTCTGGGAATTGTAGTTTCGCCCAAGCTAGGCTGCGCGTGCGGTCAAGGAGGCTCCCGAAACGAAGGAATTTAAAGAACCAAGGCAGATCATTCAGGTTTAAATCTAGAATCTACTCTAGACCCGGAAGATGGCGCCACAGAGTGATCTAGGCAACGTAATCATTTCTAAGACAAGACTGAAAATTGGCCGAAATTAATTAGAATATGCCAGTAAATCAAAGGCATCCAATCACATAAGGATTAAAAACAGACTGAATCCTGACTTCAATTTTGTGAGAGAGATGACTAAGACTTTGCCTTCGTATGCCCCAATTCATATAAGACTTAGAAAACAGTATCAGTTCCAGGTGTGCATCAAACAGTGTGCTTGATACTGCAGAAACAAATGGAGCAAGGATAGTTTGTAGACTTAAGAATTTAAAGAAAGCAGGGCGGTGGTGGCGCATGCCTTCAATGCCAGCATTTAGGAGGCCTAAGCCGCTAGATCTCTGAATTCACGGTCAGCCTGGTCAACAGAGCAAGTTCAAAAATCTGACACACAAAAAAAAAATACTAATAATGAAAGCGGGTGGGAGAGCGTGTGATCCCAGCACTGGGGCGGGGGGGGGGGGGGGGGGGGGGGGGGGGGGGGAGACGGGTGATGAGGAACTGAAACAGTCCGGGCTACAAATGAAGACGATGTCAAAGAGAGAAAACTGAAGGAGAAAGAGATGGAAGGAGGCTAAAATTTAAAATAAGCAATTTTTATGGTGGTCAAGTGACTCAGCAGATAAAGGCATTTTCTCAGTTCAAACCCCAAAACTAAAATGGTGGAAGGCCAGAACAGACTCCTTCAATTTGTCCCCTGACTGCCACACTACTCCGTGGCATGAGCCCAGCCATACATACAGACATACATGCATATATACACACATACATATGTAAATAAAATAAAATTTTAAATAAGCAAATAATTTTAGTGTTTTTCTTTTCTAATTTCCTTTCTCTCCTCTACACATATCTTCCTACTTTTTTAAGTAGTGTGTTTATTTTTTCTCTAAGTTGTGCAAAATTGTTTTGCTTTCCTCATTTCTTATCGCTTGCTCGGCAAGTGTCTCCAGGGATCTTTTATTTCAAGCTGTCATATCACCAGAACTACTAGATTATTTGGATATACTAGACTATGAAAAGAGCTGCCCAAATTTAAATATGACTTACAAACCCATATTTCAATCCTCGCTGGGAGTCGGTGAGAATCACAATTCATAGGAGTAACAACAGCACTCGACCACATTCTAGAAGCTGCCCTCAACACACTAAGCACGACAGGTGACTGGTGGAAAAGGATGAGGAACCACACCTGTTAGACAAGCCTCCAGCCTTCACATGTTTGCATGGGGGCATGTATATGTGCAAGTACACATGCATGTGCGTGTATGGACTCCAAAAGGCCAGTGTCTTCCTCAGTCCGTCTCTATCTTATGTTCTGAGACTGAGTTGATCACTGAACCTGGAATCTATTACGTCTACCGGCTGTCTGGCCAGTGACCTCCACGGATTCAGGTCCTCACACTCAGATGGCAGGTGCTTTACCACTAAGCCATCTATCTGCCCAACTTATATTTTTATTTTCTTTTAATTGGCTTACAAAATAACAAGTTTCCTTATGGATTTTTCATAGATTCCTAGTTTGGATTGACTCTCTTTCCCCACGCCCCCTTATTCCTGACCTCACACCTCATTCTTGCTTAATCCTTCCCACCCCCAGTGTTGCTTTCTTCAACTTCATTTCACATGTGTCCTACCACCACACCCCGTGCCTCTAACACCCACCCCATGCCTCTAACACCCACCCCATGCCTCTAACACCCACCCCAAGCCTCTAACACCCACCCCAAGCCTCTAACACCCACCCCAAGCCTCTAACACCCACCCCAAGCCTCTAACACCCACCCCGTGCTTCTACTCCTTACCCCCCAGGCTTAAAGCCTCTTTTGTTCCCTCCATCACAGGTCCTTTCAAGTTTCCTGGCCTCTGCACACACTCACTATCACACACACACAAAAAAAAAAAAATCAGAAGCTAGGAGGCTAGAGAAATGGCTCATCAGTTAAAAGCTCTTGCTGTTCCTGCTGAACACCTGAGTTCTGTTCCTAGAACCCACATGGCAGTTCACAACCATCCATAACTACAGCTTCGGGGCATCTAATGTCTGTTTCTGGTCTTCTCAATCACCACAGTACATATACATACATAAAGGCAAACACTCACACACATAAATAAACCTTTTTCTAAGAACTAAAAAGTTAAAAGATTAGGCAAGGCATGGTGGTGTATGCTTTTAATCCCAGCACTCAGGAGGTAGGGGAAAGAAGATTTTTGAGAGTTCATTCCCAACATGGTCTACATAGAGAGTTCTAGTACAGCCAGGGCTACCTAGTGAGATTCTGTCTCTGAATAAATAAAAAACAAATTTTAAAAGCAATGGTAAAGATACCAAACCAAGATGAGCAAATTACCACACAGAAACAAGGAACATGAAAAGGCTAGGTTCTGTGGTTCTTCAAAAAGATAATAACTCGCCCGGCTGTGGTGGCACACGCCTTTAATCCCAGCACTCGGGAGGCAGAGAGGCAGGAGGATCTCTGTGAGTTCGAGACCAGCCTGGTCTACAAGAGCTAGTTCCAGGACAGGCTCCAAAACCACAAAGAAATCCTGTCTCGGGAAAAAAAAAAAAAAAGATAATAACTCCTCAACTACTAAATACTAAAATAGGTAAACTGCCAGTTTAAAACTTCAAAAGTTTATTAGTAGAATGATCAGTGACTTCAAAGATGATATACCAAGCAGGTGACGTCAACCTAGCCTCTGGAGAGAAAAGACTGCAGCATTCCAAATGAAGGAGAATATCAGCAATGTTAGTATGAAAACTAAATGTTCGCCGGGCAGTGGTGGCACACGCCTTTAATCACAGCACTCGGGAGGCAGAGGCAGGCGGATCTCTGTGAGTTCGAGACCAGCCTGGTCTACAAGAGCTAGTTCCAGGACAGGCTCCAAAACCACAAAGAAACCCTGTCTCGA